TAAGTATTATTATGCAATTTCATTTTGATTTATTTTTGAGGAGTTAAAAGACATTGAAGTTTAGATCTTACAAAATGGCCATCAGCAGGGGTGGGGAGGTAATATATTCTTACTGAATCCTTGCCAACTTATTTCTGTATTAATTCACATTAGTTTGAATTAGAGCTTGATAGAGTTTCAAAGAACAAAATGTGAAGGAACTAATTTTTCTTTACAATGGCAGTCACATGCTAATGATCACAACAGGCATTTTTCTTCTTAATTACAATTCATTTTTGATTGAATTAGTATGCTCATCTGAAATTACCTTGTGATTAAGGAAAATCATGAACTTTGTACATTTCTAGAATTTAAAATAATTTTTTTAAACATTCAACATATCATCTACCAGAATATTTCCCCCTTGTTAATTGCCATGAACATGCTGTTCGTGGAGTAATTCATTATTTAAGGAAACTTTGCAATCATTAGTAGCAGACTTTCACATTTCTTGTAAGGCAGGTCAATGTAATAATTGCAAATAAAAAATTCCAGGTTAGGTACTAAAATATTAATGAATATTGCATATGTACAATTGCTTATAATACTGTGCCATATTCCCTAGCATTTAGAAAGCTGCCACTATGTCGTGATGCCAATATATCCTAGTTACATGTTATTTGGGCTCTTTAACACTTTGTGGCTACCAGAGGGCTCTGTATGAGCTGACATTGCTGCCTACAAAGGCTAGGTGGCCTGTGAGACCTTGGGTAACTGCTTATCTAATCAGGCAGTTGGTTAACACAGGAATGACAGAAGGCCTCAAGGTGACAGGGTCTAAAAGGCAGCTGAGAAAGTGGGACAAGGGACAAGCACAGCCATGTACTGAATAGACACACTGGGGAAAAAGAGTTAGTAAGTAGAATAAAGTCATTTCAGTCCATAGCTCCAGAGCAAGGAGTGCAGGTAAGCAGAAAGCAGCAGTTTTTCCTGCAGACATCATGGCTGGAGTTTGGCCAAGAAGAAATGAGGCCCCATCAAAAGTAAAATGCTTATCCCATCCAATTCCAGGTGGTCCAGGTCATGGCCCCCACTCAGCCACTCCCAAAATAATTTTGTTACAACATGAATAGCTTCCAATTAAACAGGTAAATGGGCATTTGAAGTGGAGCAAATGTTGGTCTTCCTAGCTACTACCTCCTACTTAGTGAGGGACATCTGGGAGGAGGTATGGAGAAGTACCAGTGAAGGAGGAGAAGAGTTTGGATTTTGCTTTAAGGGTTAAGTGGAGCCTGCAGCATTCCTGGGAGATATCTTAGAAATATTTTGGCACTGGCTGCTCCAATTATGGTCACTGTGACTCCTAAGCAAATGTTCTTGGTATAAATGACCTCATATGTGCTGCCTGATGCCATCATTCCAGGAAAGGAGAATCAACCACCTGGGATAAGACTTAGGCTTGCTTTGCTCTCGATTTGCTGAGTGAAGGTCTTTGGAAGCACCTGATGTCTTTGGAGCTCAATTTTCAGTAAAATTGGCGAATTAAACTAAATTAGCTCAAAAACTCCCTTCTAGCGCTAACAGTCAATAGGTGTAGAAATATCCTGTGTTCACTTTTCTTGGGAAGATGACTACCTAAGTGGTCTGAAGCTGGTAAGTGCTTTGTGACTTCGTCTTGATTTATTTGTAGAACAAATGTAGCCCAGGGGGTTTGAGAGAGAGAGGTTGACCCAAGCACATTGATTCAGTGCTTAAATGAAGCGTCTGAGACATGTCGCCTGAGACTGGAAGAATTTATTGATATGGATAAAGATCCCCTGTCTGTCAAAGCTGCAGGTGCTGCAGAGGCGGAAGTGCTCTGACAAATGGCCTCAATCCCACCCCTGTGCCTCCCATTATGCCACTTAATAGTCCCCGGGGAAGTCCCGCCTTGTTCTTCTCGAGCGAACCATGTCCCTCTCTCCTACTTTCAAATCTTAGTAGTACCATTAGCCCCATGTATTTATCAAAGGAGGCCTGAGGGAACTTAACCCCACACCTCCCAATAATACTCAACAGTCCCCCAAAAATAAGCCACAGAAGCTTAATATCTGTAAAAACAAACAGTTTTAAAACGAGTTCCCCAGTCTCTTTCCAATTGCACTGCCAACCTGGAGCCTTGCTGACACAGACAATCTAGAGCTCCCGAGGAGATGTAATGCAGGCCTACTGTGTGCTTGATCGCTGCACTGGCAGATTGACTAATTTCAACTCAGGCACAGAGGTTATAGCAGCAAGTGTCTTCTGGGTCTTGTTGCTGAGTGGTTTGGGGTACCTTCTCAGCACTGATCATCAGACACTTAAGTCTGTCTGGCTGGTGTTGCAGGGAGACAGCCATGGCAAAGGAAAAAGGAGTAACTGTAACAGCTTTCCAGTCTTGTTGGAGCCCATGGACTCATGTATGGTTAGTGTCCACCCACACTGAAATTCGGGCTCCATGCGGGCAGGGGCCTTAGCTGTTTCACTAACTATTCTGGTTTGAGCACCTGACACCGTGTTAACACATGGGAGGCACTCAACAATGTAGGTTGAATAATCAATGAAGAGGCTACTTGGTGCCGTGGTTAAGAGACAGACCCCTGGGTCCAAATCCCAGCTCTTCTGCTCACCAACTGGAAATGTGGGAAAGAGAGTAAATATTTCTGTCGTAATTTCCTCATTTTTAAACTAGGACTAATAATAATATATATCTCAAAGCAGTTATGCAGCTTAACGTGATTGATACATTTATAACTGGTGCCTGTCATGCACTAGAAATGTCTTTTTAACTAAGAAGATTAATCAGTTTGCACACCCTGATTCCTTGTCCTTCATTATCGAGGTTTTGTTTTTAGAACTAAAGTTGAGTTTGTGAGAACACATTGTAACAAACCTGGGCCTGCCTTAGGACCTCTGGATACGGGTTTTCTACTTACCTGATGCTTTCTACTTACCTGATGCTCTGAAACACCTCTTTCTATCAAGTTTGTTAATAAGCTACTTGCCTTAGGCTTCTTGACTTAGAGCTCTTTGAAAGCAGACACCATTCAAGAGCGCCTGATTGAGCCTGATTGAGCGTGGGTGCTCAGTGGTTAGAATGAATGCATACTTACTCAGTGAATGGCTGTCCTGTGTGTCAGCCATTGCTCCCTCCTAGGAAAGAAATCCGCCCCCCCCCCCCGCCACCCCCAACACACACACATCTCGCTGGTTCTTTTTTACCCACAATCCATCAGTGTCAGATGTTCATCTTCAGTCCTGGTCACACCAACCTCCCTTCCCACTGTTATCATCACCAGCACTGTCTCTGTTTCATCATCAACTCTCGTCACCTTCCCTTTTGCTTTCCACCCACACCTGTTCTCTCTTCTTTATTTTTAATATATTTTTATTGATTTCAGAGAGGAAAGGAGAAGGAGGGAGGGAGGGAGAGAGAGAGAGAGAGTGAGAGAGAGAGAGAGAAACATCAATGATGAGAATGAATTGAGAATGAATCATTGATCAACTGCCTCCACTGGGGATAGTGCCTGCAACCTGGGCATGTGCCCCTGACCAGAATCGAACCTGGGACCCCTCAGTCCACAGGCCAACACTCTATCCACTGAGCCAAACCGGCTAGGGCTGTTCTCTTCTTTTACCTGTCTCCTCCACTGGCTTGTGCCCTTGACATTTATATTTCTAATCTTGCTTTGCCCTGCCATTTATTTAAGTCAGGTCAAATCCTTTTGGTAAGCTGTAGAAGAATTAATTTCAAACAAAATATTATTATTTTTCTTTGCAACCTTTTACTTTTCTCATTCACCCGCATAATCACCCCAGGCTGTCCCATTGTTCATTAGAAACCCTTTTTTTCCTCATGGGACTTCTTCATGACAGTATTTTTTAAATTTTTATTTTGTTATTGTTTTGGATTGTGCTCAAAGTTCTGCTGGTCAGAGCAGTGATTTAGTGCCAACTTTATCCAATTTAATTCACATTGCATGTAGTGTGAGGAGACAAAGTAGATGGCGTGAGTCACCACCCAATCCCCTGATGCCAGTCTCTGTCTTTGAAGCGATTCTAATCTGCTTAGCTGGATGGAAATAACAAAGGAAATATTTAGACAATAGTGTAAGCCCGTCCATAAGATAAAACCTTCTGAACTTAAGTCATTTGCTCACAAACTCTGAAATGCTCCAAAACCACCTTAGCCTGGGGCCCTTCTGTGAAGTGTGGTTATGCATTGGTGTTCTTTTTCGTGCATTTTAGGTATTGCTGTCCTAGGTACTTTTATGTTTCAAACTTCACAGGGATCAATATTGCATCTTCTCTTTCCTCTGTGTGTTTTCATGGTGCCAGGATGGGGACCCGTTCTGGGCATTCTCTGGGCGCAGGGCCACACAGGAAGAGCTCACAGGCTCCTAGTTTTCAGTCCCTGTCGCTCCTTAGACACTCCTGTGCCTCTGGGTAGCCTCACTAATGAAACTGACTTTCAGGGCTAATTCTGATCCTGATTATTTTTCCTATTTTAAGAACCATTTTTCTACTGTCTTGGAGAGCTCCACCCCAGGGGAGTAACAGCAGTAGATTGGTTATGCTAAACACCCCACCTCAGGAGTTCAATTTTGATTTTTTTCACAGCAACCCAGTCATTTATATCTTTGAGATGGACTCATCTTGAAGCTTCACAAAGCCATTTAACTTTTTAAAATCATAACTCTAGGTATTGTATCTATATTCTTGGTCTTCTCTTGACTCCCAGGGAATACTCTGTGAGGCAGGAAACTCAAGTGCATGCCCTTGTTGAATACCCTTTTTTTTGTTGTTGTTGTTTTTTCTTACCGCAAATGCTAATACTGTGCAGCTGAGCTGTGCATATTAGAGTGTTTTACATTTTGTTTGCGTTTACCCTTCTAACCATGAAGCTGATATGGGGCAAGGCAAGCACGCAAAGACGGGAGCGATTCTAGGGATAACCAGAGGATGTGACGTGGTGCATTATTTTTTCTTTTTCTGTCCTTTAGTCTTTAGACCTGTGGACAAATCACTATGCGTGGGGCCTGCCCCTGCAGCCTCTCAGCTCTGCAGCGTTCCTTGCTCTACAGACTGTGTGGTGTCCTCCTGGTCAGCCTGGGGCCTGTGTGTCCATGAAAACTGCCACGATCTCCAGGGGAGAAAAGGTGAGTGGCTGTCTGTGTGTGTGCTTCAGTGACTTCCGGTGCACACACGTTTACTCTGGAGGCTCAGTGGCCAATTAAGCCCGCATAAGACAATATTTGTTTGTAAAATTTAGATAACCAGCTCAGCTCTGACAGCATTCAGGATATGTCTATGGAACAGAAACCCTGACCTTGATTGATCTTCAGATTAGGCTCATAGCTAGTGAAGTGACTATTACTCAAAAAATCATACAACTTGATGTTTTATATGTGTAACGGGATACTGAGGAAATTAGACATGATTTCTGTAGACACATCGGGGAAAATTGTTTTTACATATCTGTTTTCAGATTTCCACATGCTGAATTGGATGTTATTTTTCATATTTTCATGAAGGGCATTTATGCACGTTGATACTTTCAGTTGTGCTCAGCCTTAAAGTGACATCTTCAAACTTTATGTCCTTGTTTAATTTTAGTTCTTGGTAGTCTTGCTCTCTTTTGTTTGCTGTGAACATCTTGACTTCTCTTTCACTGGCTCTTCCGATTGCATTGATATTATGTCCCATTACATGGCAGGGCTAAAAGGAAATATTCCCTTTATTAAGACAAATGCTATCCAAGGACAGCCCAGAAGTGAGGTCACATTTCCTAGGCACTAATTCCAGTGTCCACATGCAAAGAAAGAATATGTGGGCAAGCGTTTGATGTTTTCAAACTGGTGCTCTCAGCCGAAACTCAGGTTTGTTTGAAAACCCACATTTCAGCATTCCCGCAATGCACAGATGCACATTATGTGCCCAGCCAGGCTCACTCACCATGTCCCCAGGCTTTCCTTTATTCTGACTCTTGTTCTAAGGCAAAAGAGGCAGGTGAATATCCAGTGCAAGTCAAGGAGAAGAATCTAACTTTAATTTTGTTATCAAACAATAGAAATCTGGATTTCAATGGAACCTAGAGTGGTGGAGGCTGGTGCTACTTCCTTATTCTATATGTAACCAGAGTATCCCCAAACCTTGCCAGCTTATGGAGACAAATAATTTCTCATGAATACTAAGACCCACAATCCGTGGTCTGAGGTCCACATATGCATAGTTGGACCATATAATTCTCTTGGAATTGCATATGAGCTTTCCCAGGGTGACTTGTATGTTATTAGAGCCAGCTCTCTCATGTCCTACCTGTGCCACTCTGTTTGAAGGTCACTATTTAGAAAATGATTGTGGCCATGCTGGTGGGACTTTGCTGTATTGAGTCTTGCCTTCCTTTGTTTTTCAAGTTGTAGAACCTACACCAATCCAAGTGGGGCTTACTTTATTTGGGACACTTTTCTGGGGGAGGGAGGAGCTCGATCAGAGGACTTGGGCCCCTGGACACTTTTGCTTATAGGTGTCAGAAACATAATTTAAAGTGACTGAAGCCACAGGAGGGAATTTATTAGCACATATAATCTAGCCTAGCTAATAAAAGAGTAATATGCAAATTAGTCATCACTCCGCCACTCTGTCACAAAGATGGCCATGCCCATAGCCGCAAGATGGCGGCGCTCAGTCCCCTCAGCCCCGCCGCTGAAGTGTCCAGGCCTGTTGGCCAGGCAGGTGATAGGGGAGGCAGGGGGATGAGGGGTGGAGCAGACGATCAGAGGGGGCTGGGGGTCCCCTACCCAGGCCAGTGTTCCTCTCACTTTGATGTTTCTCTCTGTCTTTCCCTTTCTCTTCCACATTTTCTAAAAATCAATGGAAACATATCCTCAGGTGAGGATAAAAAAAATAATAAAGAAAGAAATGTCATATCCTATGAAAGACACAGCTTGAAAATTCCTAAAGAAAGTTGTCATTTTTTCATGGTGAAGGGACTGAAGTCCGTGTTGATGAAAACACCTTGGTGGCTGCGGTGCCTGGCAGTGGCTGCAGAAGCGGGGTGATGGGGCTAGTGCCTTCCCCTGATCAGCCCGGTCACCTCCCACAAAGGGAGGCCAGACTGCGGCTTAGACTCTCTCCCCAAGGGGAGCAGGGAGCGGGCCTAAGCCGTCAGTAGGACATCCCCTGAGGGCTCCCAGTTTGTGAGAGGGGGCAGGCTGGGCTGAGGGACCCGCCCCCCTCGTGCAAGAATTTCATGCACCAGGCCCCTAGTACATATATAAAAAAGGTAATATGCAAATTAGGCTGGGACACCATAACGAATCATGACCAGACAGGGGGAGGTTGTGTGCACAGGTGAAGCCCAGAGTGGAGATAGAGACAGACACAGTGGGGCCTTCCTGAGCTGGCACGGTGGCTCCGGCAGCCCAGGACAGACACAGGCAGGGGGTTGGGGAGGCTTGGGGTGGAAGTCAGGTGCGGTCCCGGCTGCCCACGGCACCAATCAGGCCTGACTCCCACGGCAGCCGGCGCTGTGCAAGTCAGGCACGGGTCCTGGCCACCCACAGTGCAGGTCCGGCCTGACTCCCACAGCGGCCCATGGGGTGCCTCCTCAAACGGTGGGAGGAGGGGCGCCTCCTTGCATGATTTCAATTGCGTGCTGGGTCTCTAGAAAAAAATAAAAGGGAATTTAGGGCTGTGTCCAAAAGTATCCCTAAGGTTTTATATCTCAGTTCTCCTCATTCTTTCTCTTTATCTTTATGATCTTCTGTTTCTATACTCTTCTATTCTTTTCTCTTTGCCCTTAAAATCTTCTTTCTCTTTGTATTTTGGTACTACCTTTCTCTGTATTAGGTTCAGTTTAAGGCAGGCCCTCTCCATGGGATAAAGAAAAGTCTTAATTTTTTTAAACTGCTAAACTTTTATTGTGTGTCCTTGCTATCGGCATATTTACTTTTAGTTAACATACACATTTTAGTGATTATTCATCTTAGAATAACAGGACATCAACAAATTGTCATAACTATTTAAAGCATTCTGATTTGAAACATCTAATTCTTAGAATTCGTTAAAAAATTAGTTTTGGTGTAGTTCTAAATCATGTAAGTGATAAATTACTTGTTTTCTGTTTATTTGAAGGCAACATAACCTTCAAACATTCGTTTCTTCAATTGACATTTGATTTAAAATTAGGCAACTCTATCTTCCTATCTAATAATAGAGAAACATGGTAATTAACCATAACTTCGCTACCCTTCCCATTGGCTAATCAGCAGGATATGCAAATAAACTGCCAACCAAGATGGCGGCCGGCAGCCAGGCCCCTGAAGCGAACAGGAGGCTTGCTTGCTCCAGTGACGGAGGAAGCCAATGTTCCCCGCCTGCCGCTGCTGGGCTGTGAGCTGCTCTCTAAGAAACATTGTTGCAAATATAGAAGCTAAACAGAAACCCAGAAATCTGCTTTCAGTCAGCTGGGATGTCAGAGCTGGAGTTGCAACAAAGTTTCAAATACAGAAGGTAAACAAAGCCCAGAAACCTGCTTTCAGCAGCCGAGGTCTCAGAGCTGGTGCAGAGCCTCAGAGTTAAATCCGGCTCTCAGCTCCAGTGACAGGCATAGAAGGTAAATAAATCTCAGAATTAAAAAAAAAAGTAAAAAAGGAGAGGTTGGGAGCTTCAGTCACCCGCCAGTCTGAAAACGGCCTTCAGCCCCTCATCCAGACTGGCCAGGCACCCCAGTGGGGAACCCCACCCTGAAGGGGGTGTGACCAGCTGCAAACAGCCATCATCCCCTCACCCAGACTGGCCAGGCACCCCAGTGGGGACCCCCACCCTGAAGGGGGTGTGACCAGTGGCAAACAGCCATCATCCCCTCATTCAGGCTGGCCAGGCACCTAAGCGGGAACTCCACCCTGATCCGGGACACCCTTCAGGGCAAACCAACTGGCCCCCACCTGTGCGCCAGGCCTCTATACTATATAGTAAAAGGGTAATATGCCTCCCAGCACTGGGATCAGCGGAGCCCCAAGGCCTTCCAAACCTGGGATCAGCGGAGCCGCAAGGCCTCCCAGAACCAGGATCAGCGGAGCAGCGAGGCCTCCTAGCACCGGGATCAGCAGAGCTGCGAGGCCTCCTGGCCCCTGGAGCAGTGTGACAGGGGGCAGCACCCAAACCCCCTGATCGCCCTGCGGCTCTGTGTGTGACAGGGGGCGGGGCCACAACCTCCCTATCCGCCCTGCTCTGTTTGTGACAGGGTGCGGTGCCCCAACCCCGCCATGGGCCCTGCTCTGTGTGTGACTGGGTGGAGCCGCAACCTCCCCATTGGCCCTGCCCTGAGTGTGACAGGGGGGAGTGCCTCAACCCCCTGATCAGCCCTGCTCTGTGGGTGACAGGGGCGAGCTCCCCAACCCCCGATTGGCCCTGCTCTGTGTGTGACAGGGTACGGAGCCCCAACCCCCCTGATGGGCCCTGCTCTGTGCATGACAGGGGGCAGCGCCCCAACCCCCTGATTGGCCCTGCTCTGTGTGTGACAGGGGGTGGTGCCACAACCTCCCCATTGACCCTGCCTTGAGTGTGACAGGGGGCGGCGCCCCAACCCCCCAATCGGCCCTACCCTGAGTGTGACTGAGGGTGGCATCACAACCTCCTGATCCGCCCTGCTCTGTGCATGACAGGGGGCGGCACCCCAACACCCCAATCGGCCCTGCTCTGAGCCCGACCAGGGGCTGCGGGGCAGGCATCTAGGGATTGGGCCTGCCCTCTGCCACCCGGGAGCAGGCCTAAGCCAGCAGGTCGTTATCTCCCGAGGGGTCCCAGACTGTGAGAGGACACAAGTGGGGCTGAGGGATTACCCCCCCATGCCAGTGCACAAATTTTTGTGCACTGGGCCTCTAGTATCCTAATAATCTATGTTCAAGTAACATAAAACTCTACTTATGACTTCAGTAGGGCAAACTGTGAAAGTCTCTCAATTCCATTTAAACTTTCAGATATAAGATGGCATCAACATGGTCTACAAATTGCAAATTGGAGAGTGAGGCTAAATTTTTTTGTTTCCTTGATTCTTAAATATTTAGAAAAAAATAGTTTTTAGCCCTAGCTGGTTTGGCTCAGTAGATAGAGAGTCAGCTTATGGACTGAAGGATCCTGGGTTAGATTCCGGTCA